GTCAAAATTTTAACTGGTCACACCATTTTTTAACCGTCGCATAACAGAACTTCCCCCGAAAGGGAAATATTGAAATATTGTTTCGCTTTCAATGATTCAACCATTGATATTTGGTAATATTCCAAATAAACACAAACAGAGAGAGACTCAGAGGCCAAAATTTTCTTTCCTCGCATTAAAATAATACATGAGAAATAGTTTTTAATTTATTTTTCTAACACTTAAGGATACTCGGGATTTGAGTATTCTTATCGAATTAAAAATTCAAAATGACATATCATTATAGAAAAAATACAAACACCTCCCTCTTTATCTATGCACCATGTCAACAAGTGAGATATTTTTTTAAGTATTTAAATTAATTAGTTTATCCATATTTTGAATATAATAATTATTTTTTTGGTATCCTAATATAAATATATAACTTCACAACCAATCCAATTAGTCATTTTTATTCATTACTAAACTATGTCGCACAATAGAAATCTTTTATATTTAAAATATATATTTATAAAAAAAACTATTATATAAAAAAAATCATATAAATGAGTGATAAAAAATAGTTAATTATATCACATTCATTTAAATTATAACATTCGTTTTAAATTAGTTTTTAAATTTTTAAAAATAATATATATATATATATATATTATTTTTGGTTTAATGTACATAAATTTGATCATGGGTCGAGTTGAATTGAATTTTTAGCTCACTCAAATTTAATTTGAGCATTACACTTATCACATAATCTTATCCAGATTTAATGAGGCTTCATTAGGTTTAAATTTTATTTGATTTTATGATAAAAATATATATTTGACCTAATTTATATGACACAAATATATATAATCATTTTTATTGGGTAAAAAGGAGACATAATTAAAAAATAAATATATGTATTATACATTTATCTCTAAATATAAAATTATTTATTCTAAATTCAAACGCGATCCAACCTGACTTCACTCTTTAAAACCCCAACCTGATTTAAATTAAAAAAAAACTTAATATAAAAATAAGTGTTCAAACTATCTCATTTTAGGTGTCTAAACTTTTTTCGGTCAATTTAGATTCCTAACGTTATAAATACTATCATTTTAAGTATCTCGATTGTAGCAGCATTAAAAAATTCCAATAAGTGACACGTGTCATGTCCAATAAATTTTAAAAAGATATTTTAGAAAACTTAAAATTATATTTTTTATTAAAAAAACTTAAAAAATCAAATCTTAAAAAATACAAAAACTTCGATAGAAACCCTAATTTTAATCCCAATACTTACAATGTTCGCGTTGTTTCCATCGGTCAAATCTCCACCTAATTGAACCTCCATCGGATGAAAAGATCTCGATGACCCAAAACCCAAAAATGGATAGAAAATTGCGACCCAACATTTAAGAAAAACCTTGAAAATTTGTGACTCTCGCGACCCACCAAACTCGGTGACATGTTTGACGATAGAGAGAAGACAACTGATTATGGAGATGGCAAGGAAAGCAGTGACGAAGATGGTCATGACCAACAAGGGAGGTTGAAAGGATAATATTAGGGATTTTAAGGATTTTAGTTTTTTTTGTAATTTTAAAAAATTAGGGTCTTTTAAATATAATAATATTTGTAAGTTTTAAAATTTTAAAAATCATTTAATGTTAAATGTGTCACTTATTTTTAACAGTAGTTACGATCGAGACACTTAAAATTATAATGTTTGTAACGTTAGACACCTGGACTATCCGAAAAATATTTCAAATGCCTAAATGAGAAAAAAAAAGTATAATTTGACCATTTATTTTTATATTAAACTTAAAAAACACAATCTCATAAACCATATCGAATTGAAGCCAAAAAATTTAGTTCAAATGTCCATCGTTTAAGTGCACAAGACCTGCAATGAATTTAGATGCTCTCCTTTCATAATGGTTGTTTGTTATCCTGCTTGGCTCTTGAATTTTATTCTTTGTTGGGATGTTGTTTCTTGCAAGTAAACTTGTTAAAAGGTTGAATCATACATGTAGTTCAGAAATTCATTTAAAATATGAAAAAAAATCAAACAAAAACTGAAACCTGAAAAATAAGCCCATTTTTAATTCGAACCAGGCCTCGAGTAACATTATTTTGACCCGAAAAACAGGGATCGATCGAGGAGAGAATGGATAGAGACAGTTGTCATCTAAAAATCAGGTATTTTAATTTTTTATTAAAAATGTATTATTGTTATATTCTAAAATTTTATAAATTCTTATATTTCTAAAATTTTAAAAATTTACCTGCTAATATAAAATTTTATTTCCGTTCATGTCATAAACCCTCAGCAGCTGGACCATCTCAGCAATCTGAAGCCAGGGGTAAGTGGGAGGTTTGGTTCGAGAATAGAAGTGGAACGTATTAATTTTTGTAATCCCCATTCCCTATTATTGTCAAAAGTTTTGGGCGAAAAAAAATCATGGAGAGGCTTTGAAGCCATCGTATCTGCTACAAATATGGAGCACAACTCCTGATTGGCCTTCTAGACGCAATGGGACTGCTTTTGCTCTTTAGGGAACTCCATTTTTATTGGCATCTAATACTTGAAGCCCACAAGGGTAAAATACCCTACATCTATCTCAATTACTTGATGCTTAAATATAAAATAAGCTATATACATTTTCACGAATAGATGCCTAAGTATTTTTTTGACTTGTCATGGTGAATAAAGTTACAAGTGTTACCACTTTAGGTGTACGGGCCGTCAATAATGTTGATTTTTCACTTTAAGTGACACATGTCACAATTTGGTAATTTAAAAAAGTATTTAAAATAAAAATTTATATATACATATTAGAAAAAATAATTTTTTGAAATAACCCTAAAACTTTGAAAACATTCATTTCAACTCCTAAATCCACACCGGCCATTGCTCTTTTCCGTTGACGAAACTCCACTCGACCTCACCTCCCCTGACGACCAAAACCCTTGTGAAATCGTGTTCGATCGACTGTGAATCGACATTTTATGCCCCCAAACCCTAGGATGAAAATCGCGATTACACATGATTTCGACGAACAATCGACGTCAACTACGACGGAGTATGACTAGGAGGATGGCGACGACCAAGTCGGTGACAGTTGTCGTTGTAGGAAATGTAAATTGCAAAATGACACGTTAGCAATTGACTGGACAAATAAAAATATATTGAACAACTGAAATCGTGTCGTGGTGAAAACCACTACCTTAGAAACAAATTCACCCCGATTTGTGTAATTGATACTTCAAGTGGATTGTCCCCGAGGTTATACGGTTGCTCCAAATTTTCATACACCCGAAACCGGAGTGGACTTTCGGTGGCACTGCTCTTCTAACAGTAGCGGAGAGAATAATTAAAAATATATTTAGATGAAAGGATATGACAATGTTGAGTGTAAGTTGAGAGCGATATGAAGCTCTCTATTTATAGGCTAAGCTTTAGGGGTAAAATTGTCCAACATAAATCATATATAAAATCTGATTAATTTCTGAATTAAAATCGTGTCTGAAACTGTTGCAATAAACGGATGTATTTAACCTCAATTCAGTCCAGGTTCGTGCTTTAACACTCAGTCATTTGTAACTTCAGGTGTAACTGACACAATAAACATCATGAACAGAGCTGATATTATCGGATTATGACACGTGTCACTTAACGAAAGAAATTAACGATGTTAACAATCCGAATACCTAAAATGGTAATGTTTATAACGTTAGACACATGAAGTAATATTCTACATGGGTTTGGGCTTGAACTTGTAAATGGGTTTGGGCCTTTTGGTTTGAGGGCCTGCAAAAAATAAGTGTAATTGTAATGTTAATAATAATAATAATAATAATAATAATATTACAATAATATTTTTGATAGATTCAGACAAAAACGGGTGTTTATCGGTGTATTTTTGCAATATTTAGCTAAACTATTACTTGTTGTCAGTCTATTACTAAAATGTGCAAATTGTTTCAAAGATAATTCCTTGGTAGAAATATGCAAAAAGGCTTCAAGATCCAACCTATGTAAGCATCACACTGTCATTTGAAGCTCTACCTATAACTTTCCATCTTACTAGCTCTCAACTGAGCATCATCAAGTTATTTCTCACTTTTTCATCATAACCTAAGTGTAATTGATACTTCAAGTGGATTGTCCCCGAGGTTACACGGTCGCTCCAAATTTTCATACACCCGAAACTGGAGTGAACTTTCGGTGGAACTACTCTTCTAACAGTAGCGGAGAGAATAACTAAAAATATATTTAGATGAAAGGATATGACAATGTTGAGTGTAAGTTGAGAGCGATATAAAATCTGATTAATTTCTGAATTAAAATCGTGTCTGAAACTGTTGCAATAAACGGATGGATTTAACCTCAATTCAGTCCAGGTTCGTGCTTTAACACTCAGTCGTTTGTAACTTTAGGTGTAACTGACACAATAAACATCCTGAACAGAGCTGATATTATCAGATTATGACACGTGTCACTTAACAAAAGAAATTAACGATGTTAACAATCCGAATACCTAAAATGACAATGTTTGTAACGTTAGGCACATGAAGTAATATTCTACACGGATAAGGTATTTTGAACAAGAATAAGGTTTCAGAGAAATATTCCTTCAGTCCAAGCTTAGCAGCCACATGAAGTAAAACGCAAGAATCACATCCACCCACTGAAAATACCCAGAATATTCTACACGGATCGCAGGCATGCGCGTCCTCAATGGTGGCCTAATGAATTCCTTTCCCGTAGGATATTCGCTTATTCCTCCTTATTTCAGGTTTCCCAAATCAACCACAGAATTTCACTCCTATGAAAAATAAATAAATGTACATTGGAAGATGGGTTAATGGAGGGGATTCTGGATTACCATACGAACACATTCCTGTAATATTCCTTTGGCATAAAAAATATCCAATTTTTATTACTGTTGCAGGTCATTTTTTCTTCCAATTTGCTTGTTTTTATGTGTTTATAAATACCCTTGCTCTCTTACGTGACCTTACAACGTTCAGAAATCTCTTCCGATCAAAGGGTTTTTAAGCTCTTCTGTTCTCTCTCTATTTCCAATCTTGTTTCTGCAACTTCGAAACAAAAATGGCTGGGATTGTTGTGGTTTTTGATTTTGACAAAACCATCATTGATTGTGATAGTGATAATTGGGTTGTTGATGAGTTGGGTTTTACCGATTTGTTTAATCAGCTTCTTCCTACCATGCCCTGGAATTCTCTCATGGTAAAACTCAACAATATCTCCACTTGTTTTCTTTTTCTTGTATTTTCCATTTGAAAGTAACATATTGATTTAGACATTTACGTTTTTGGTGGCGTAAACCTACAGGACACGATGATGGGGGAGATTCATGCGCAGGGAAAAACCATTGATGACATTGCTGAGGTTCTGAAACGGACTCCTATCCATCCTAAGATTGTAGCAGCTGTTAAATCAGCTCATGCTTTAGGGTATGTTTCTCTCCTTACTTCTTACTGTTTTATCTGTGACAAAAAAGAAGAGAAGAAGAAAACACATCTTGGACTGTAAAATAATGGATTTGGTATGTGATTTTCTTTTCCCAGGTGCGAACTGAGGATCGTAAGTGATGCAAACATGTTCTTCATTGAGACAATCCTGGAGCATCTTGGACTAAGGGAATATTTCTCTGAGATCAACACAAACCCAGGCTTTCTGAATGAACAAGGAAGGCTTAGGATCTTCCCTTACCATGATTTCACCAAGTGTTCCCATGGCTGCAATCTCAACCTTTGCCCCCCAAACATGTGCAAGGTATCACATCCAACTCCAACTAGCTTGGAGTTTTCATATATTTACATAATATAATATGAAGTTTGACAAACTTCATCTTGGGGTTCTGCTCTGGTTTGCAACAGGGGATGATCATAGAAAGGATTCAAGCTTCTTTAGAGGGAAGGAAAAAGATGATATACCTTGGAGATGGTGTTGGTGATTATTGCCCCACCCTAAGGCTAGCAAAGAGTGACTATATGATGCCAAGGAAGAATTTTCCAGTTTGGGATTTAATTTGTAGGAACCCTATGCTCATCGAGGCTGAAATTCACGAATGGAGTGATGGTGAAGACCTGGAGCGAGTTCTTTTGCAACTAATCAACACGGTCTCCGTTGATGCTCAATTGTTCTCAGTTGACTGCAAACTGCAAAGCTTATCGGCATGTAACCATTCCTTGCCCAAATCCCTGCATGTTCCTCAGTAGAAGTGTGATCGTCCCTTGAAGTGATTTTTAGGTCTTATGACCCATATTTTTAGGTTTTAACAACTAATTATATTTCTCATTATTTACATTATTACACTTTCTCTAACCTGAAATAATTAATTTTTATTTAAAACAATATAATTAATTTCATAAATTTTATATAGAATCCTTTTGTTACTAAAGACGCAACAAAAATAAATTTAGAAAAATCAAAATTTATAGAAGTTCATTGCACTTTGTGTTTTTAGTCGATTTAATGCTTCCCTTGTGGTTGAATCATTTTAGTTTTTCACTTCTCTATACAATTTGGTATAAAACAAACAAAAGCTTATTTAATTCCTTCTAACATTTAAATAACACTCAATTGTATCCGTATTATTTCATTAAAATAATTAAATTGTACTTTATCCTCTAAATTTTTATAATTACAATTTTAATCCAAAAAAGTCTACTATGCAGCCTATCAGCAAAAGGTAAGAGATTTGAGAAAAATCATCCCTTTTTTCAAAGAAAAATGAGTTATTCATCATTCAAGATCTTATTAAGTATATCATAGCCAATGCTGCATATTTAAGTCTGAATGAAGCTTCTTTATCTCCAACTCACGAACCACTTTGCACTGTTAAATTAACTAATTTTGAATGTTAATTGCCTGCATTCCATAATAGACATCACATAGGGTAAAGTACACAAACTTGATTGTAGGTTGGAAATGAGGAGAATATGAGTAAAAAGAAATATAAACGAATTTAATGAAATTTTATTGTTTGTAAAAGGTTTTTTAGAAATAAAATTTAAATTTAAAATATTTTTTATTATTTTAGAAAATTAAAATAGAATTTTAAATTATAATTGAAATGTTAAATGAAATATCATTCAGTAATTTAATGTTTCATGTTTTAAAGACAATTAATAATATAATATTTATTTTATAATAAAATTTAATTTTTAGAAAATATTTTTATATTATTTTAATGACCTTTGTAAACTGTACCCAATATTTATATATATAGAGGCCCATCATCGATGACTGGACTGCCTCTGATATACAACTTTTTACATCTTTCGAAGTCATATAAATGCACCACTTTTTCTGTCTTAAAGGAATTTGACTTGGCATATTCCTACGCTAGCCACCCCACAGAAAAACTTTCCTCGCATCCGCTTAGACCGACATGGTATATGACTGAACACACCGCCAAATCACAACCCTCTAACCACCTATAAATACCATATCATTCATTGTAGTGATATCACACAATCTGAAAGCATATACCCATCTCAGTTTTTAGGGTTTACATATCATCCACCACAAGGCATAGTGGTGATTTTCGATTTCGATAAAACCATTATCGATTGTGATAGCGATAACTGGGTTGTGGATGAGTTGGATCAGCTTCGTCCTACCATGCCATGGAACTCCCTCATGGTTAGTCTTTTGCTTTCTTGTCTTTCACGTTGCATGCATGTTCTTGGTTTCCAAATGCTTTTCTTTATGTCCAATAAAAGGAGATTTATTGGGAAATTGTTACAGGATCGAATGATGAAAGAAGTTCATTCGCAAGGAACAAGAATTGAGGATATTGCAGCTGTTCTGAAAACAACTCCGATACACCCTCGAATCATCGAAGCCATTAAGTCGGCTCAAACTTTAGGGTAGGAATACACTAATTTTCTCTCTTAGTTTATATGTATATTTTTTTTTCTACATGTCTGGTTTCATTGCTAATGAAAAAAAAAATAGTACTGAATGTTTAATTCCCGTCTATAGGGTATTGTGATTGAAAAGATACAAGCTTCCATATCCATGGAGGAACAGAAGAAAACGATAATCTGCCTTGGAGATGGGCTGGGTGATTTCTGCCCAAGTTTGAAGCTTGGCGATGGAGACTATTTAATGCCAAGGAAGGGTTTCCCAGTTTGGGACTTGATTTGCAAAAACAGGAGTCAAGTAAAGACACATATATGCGAGAGGAGCAACGGGGAGGACTTTGAACATGTGCTGCTCCACCTTATTACCAGGATTTCCATCCAAGGAAACAACACTAGTGCCAGTTTTGGTCATCTCTATTCACTTGATTTCAAATCAGGAACCATGCCGTTGCCAGCCACCACTGCTCATGAAGCCTTCCCTCAGGCCCTTCATGTTTTTCATTAAAAACGTAAATTAGTTTACATCAAAATGGATTTAGACTTTTATGTATTTTAGCTTACCAGAACTAATCTGTAGTTTTGATAGGAGAGGAGCGTCAAATAACTTATTCAAATAACATTCTATTTATTTTTAATATTTTGTTGATATCATTCTTTAATTTGAAGTACGAATCGAGCAGTGAGTTAGAGTTACAATTTGTTGTTTGTAGCTAAGTAATACTCCTATATTTTAAATACCTAAACGACGTCGCTCCGTTAGACCTGAATCCACCAATTCCCGACCCCGGAAACCCACCTAGTTCCAAGATCATATTGAAGAATTGAAGGCACAACTGGCTAGGGAATTTGAAATGAAGGACTTGGGATCAGCAAACAAGATTCTAGGGATGCAAATTCATCGAGATAGAAGTAATAGGAAGATTTGGCTTTCACAAAAGAATTACTTGAAGAAAATCTTGTCACGATTCAGCATGCAAGATTGTAAGCCAATTTCTACCCCTCTTCCTATTAACTTCAAATTATCCTCCAGTATGAGTCCTAGCAGTGAAGAAGAGAGGATGGAGATGTCTCGAGTACCGTATGCATCAGTAGTGGGAAGTTTAATGTTCGCTATGATATGCACAAGACCAGACATTGCACAAGCAGTGGGAGTGGTTAGTCGATACATGGCGAATCCAGGCAAAGAGCATTGGAATACAGTAAAGAGGATCCTCAGATACATCAAAGGGACCTCAAATGTTGCATTATGTTACGGAGGATCAAACTTACTAATTAATGGGTATGTAGATTCTGACTATGCAGGGGATTTGGATAAAAGCAAATTTACTATAAGATATGTGTTCAAAGTTGCTGGTGGAGCTGTAAGCTGGGTTTCAAAATTGCAGTCAGTTGTGGCTACGTCCACAACAGAGGCAGAATATATAGCAGCTACACAAGCCAATAAAGAAGCAATTTGGTTGAAGATGCTATTGGAGGAGCTTGGGCACAATCAAGAGTATGTCTCTGTATTTTGTGACAGTCAAAGCGTCTTGCATCTAGCAAGGAATCCATCATTTCATTCAAGGACAAAACACTTACGAGTTCAGTACCATTTCATTCGTGAAAAAGTGGAAGAAGGGACAGTGGATATGCAGAAGATCCATACCAAAGACAACATAGCAGATTTCATGACGAAGGCGATCAATGCCGATAAATTTACTTGGTGTCGATCCTCTTGTGGCCTGTCAGAGACATAAGCAACATGAAAGGTACAAGGTAGAAAGAATGGTGTGAAGATATGATTGTTCCAATCAAATCTTCAAGTGGGAGATTGTTGAAATCTAGTGCACATGACACCGAAAGTTGGAAAATTAAAAACAAATGGGGCACCGATTCATGTAGTCAAAAAGGGGGCTGAAATTGTTGAAAAATAAAATGGTAAAAGCTTAAATTTAGTCATTGTAATTTAGGGTATTTACAAATTAGTCCTTAAGACTTCAACTATAAATACCCTTGCTCATTTAGCTTCAAAACCATCCCAAAGCATTCTAGCTTTCTTCCAATACTAGAGAGATTTTAGAGAGTTTCTTGAGAGTTATTTTCTCCTTTTTATCTAGAGATAATTATCATTGTTTTCTCCTTGGTAGATCGAGAGAGGTTGTAATTCCTATTTTCTCATAGTAAAATTCTTCTACCGTTGCCCGTGGTTTTTACCCTAAATATTTTAGGGGTTTTCTACGTAAATTTTGTGTCTCTTTTATCTTTATTTTTATTTTCTCAAATTATCAGTTACGATTTTACTCTATCCGATAGCCGTCTTCCGCAACACATTGATTATAAAAATGGAGGAGGTTGGGGGCTTGGGAGTTATTCATTATCCTTTTTGGTCTCAAAGACGAGCTTCAGTTGTATTTTGGAGGGAATTATTGTTTTGATTCCTTGTCCTTATAGATTTGGTTTTATGCAAAAGAAAATAGAAAAATAAGCTGTTTTGTTAGTTTTAGTTCTTGTTGTTTTCCTGCGTTTTTCAGGCTAAACAAGCATGACACTGATATTCTCTTTTTGATTTTCTAATTTGTTTAAGTTTTGATGTACTAATCTCCATTTTATTATGCATAGATTTTGCAGGATTGAACTAGTTTTGTTGCTTGAATTCGAGGTTTGAAAAGGGTGCTGCGTTTTCTCTATTTACAGCTGAGGCTTTTTGCTAGCTGTGAACATTTCAAGAGTCAAATCCTTCTACAAGAAAGCTGCTACCTTACAACGCATGCTTTTCTTCTGTCATTCATTGTGATTTGATCTTCTTTGTATGGAAACCTACACAGGAGAATCATTGTGCAGAAAATTTTGTTCCGTTTCTGTGAAGAACTGAACCAGAGGAAAAGGAGGGAAACTGATTCTCGGATCCAGAAATACACAGCCTTCCCTTTCTTCTTTTGTACCTGTTCCTTTCACTGTGTTGACACCATGATTTGAACCCCACTCAGAAAAGAAAGGGGAAAGCAGGTTCATTTGTATTGTTTCACCTTTTTGGGGGCAGCTGTCGTTTTGCAGTTTCATGACAAACAGTATGATTCTCAATCCGTGCCTCTAATTTAAGCCAAAGGACTTAACTTTCTTGTTTTAGTGACATCTTCATTAAATTTGCAATCACCAGTGGAATATACATTCTAACATTTAACAAGAAGGTATACTAAGAGAACTTTGAAACGTTGGGTCTTTTAGAGAGTGAGGAGTCATTTGTTCACGTGAATTAGTGAAAAGGAAGTTGTCATAGATGCATATCTCTCTGTTTCTCAGCAGATTATCTGGAATGGAATAGTTAGCCATTTTGGTGGCACATCAGCACATATACTCAGAGTCCAATATGGTGGGGGCAGATCAATAATGCAACTTTTGTTTTGTTTTGTTAGTTCCTCCTAAGAATGTTTTTTGGGGCCTCTACAATGGTAGTTGTTATTAAGATAGTTTTTTAAGTTGTGAAGTGGGGAAATTCAATCGGAATTCTTTGTGGCAAATGAGTCGAGAACAGAAGGGAAGGCAAAGGAAAACTGGGTTGGGCATGGCCAAGAAAGCTGTGGTTGCTGTTAAGGCATCGAAAGAAATTCCCAAGACTGCTCTGGTGTGGGCATTTACTCATGTTGTTCAACCTGGAGACGCATTACGTTGCTTGTTGTTCCTTCACACTGTTCAGGTTGTTCTGTTATTGCTTTTGCATTTACCTATGACATTTTAGGATTGAACTCCCGCCGATGGTATAGATGTGCTTTTCTCTTTTGGTATTTTAGAAATTTGATTACATGAATGGTCTTTGAATAGGGTTTTTGTTAGTCTATACGCATCCCAATTACTTGGATGCAGACATAACTATATCTGCCCAGAAAAAAAATTTGCTGGATATGACTATGGATTATCTTCCAGATTTTGCATTCCAGTTTATAACATATCTGATATTTCTTTTTTAAAATTATTTAGTTTTACTGACTGTGTTAAGTTCTTTCTGTCATTGGAAGTGCTCGAGGCTTAGAAGAGTCAAAATTAGAAATAGAAATGATTATGATGTTAACTCTTTACAAATCCTCTAACTTAATTTTCAACAATTATTCCTGCCTGATGATTAAATGCCACAATCCATCCAGGTAGAAAATGGGGGTTTCCTAGATTTTCTGGTGACTGTGCCAGCAGTAGCCGCAAGTCCCAAACCGGATCAAGTTCGGAGCAAAATTCTGGTATCAATGATTCCTTCTCCCAAATGATCCTCCAGCTCCACGATGTTTATGATCCCAACAAGGTAAATACCTGGCTCTGGGTGCTTGATTATATTATTGTTTTATGTAAATGGCATTGCCTACTAATGATTTGTTTCGGAACTTCATTGCACAGATTAATGTCAAGATAAAAATTGTATCTGGATTACCATGTGGAGCTGTAGCTGCAGAAGCTAAACAAGCTCAAGCTAGTTGGGTTGTATTGGACAAGTAACATCCTCTTTGCTTTGTTTCTTCATTTTTTTTTGTGTTCTATCCTAAAAGTTATATAAGCATGGTTGTTATATCTCCATTTGTTTATTTTCAGGCAGCTCAAACATGAGGAAAAACGATGTATGGTGGAGTTGCAATGCAACATAGTGACCATGAAGCGTTCTCAGGCAAAAGTGCTCCGCTTAAATTTGGTTGGGTCATCTGAGAAGGAAGCTGAAGCTTGTCAATTAAATCCCGAGGCAGATGAAATTTTCATCCCAAAAACAAAAATGGATCATCCGATATTGGGCCCGTTATCACTCCAACCAGCAGTCCAGCTTGGGATGATATTCACTGCTACTGAAGCAGGAACTTCTTCAGTGTCTAGCTCTGATCTAGTCACTTCACCTTTTTGCTCCTCAGAAAGGAACGCAGACTTGAAGAAAGAGGAATCACTAGTCATCAAGGAAAACCAGGATCTTGATGAATCCATTTCAGACACGGAGAGTGAAAACTTATCTTCAGTGAGTTTAAGGTATCAACCATGGATAACAGAATATCTTACTACTCATCATCAGTCCTCACAATACCTCGAAGAGCCTTCAGGTCGAGTTAATGTCAGGGCTCAAGCGTCAACAACACAAGCCTCACTAGAGAAATTTTGAAAACTTGATAGAGAAGCTGGAATTGGAATATCAAGCTTTAGGAGTGATATTGAATTTAGTGGAAATGTGAGAGAAGCAGTTGCATTGTCGAGAAACTCCCCTCCTGGCCCTCCTCCGTTGTGTTCAATATGTCAGCATAAGGCACCTGTATTTGGAAAACCGCCAAGGTTCTTTACCTCTGGTGAATTGGAACTTGCAACTGGTGGATTTTCTCAAGCTAATTTCTTGGCCGAGGGTGGGTTCGGATCCGTTTATGGAGGAGTACTCCCAGATGGACAGGCAATTGCAGTCAAGCAACACAAATTGGCTAGTTCTCAAGGAGATCATGAATTTTGCTCGGAAGTGGAAGTCCTCAGCTGTGCTCAACACAGGAATGTTGTTATGCTGATTGGATTCTGCAT